ATATTTTAGTTATTAATGAAATATTAAATTGTTATTTATTCTGATCACATCATATTGAATTTTTGTTTAAAAAATAAATAAATTAATTTTTTTCACCAAAATAATTTAGGGAGGCTTTAAAACATTTCAGGGGGGCTCCAGCCCCCCTGAAATAGACCTAGTGACGCCACTGCACCGAACAACAGCTCTGATGTGATTCTTTTCATGACTCAAAGCTCATCAGAAGCTCCTCCAGGTTTGTTTAAATGTTTTACAGACAAAGAAAAACCTGGAAAAAAGTTGTAGTATGATCAAATTAAAATATCAAAAAGATAAAATAAACACGTGAGTTCACTTCCTTTTTCCTAAAACCAGAAAAATCACAATCTATTAACTTTGTGTAAAAGTTTAAATTCAGATTCAGACTTTTGTTGTGTAAAGACATCTTCCTCTGTGCTGTCAGACATGAACCCCCCCCCCCCCCCCCCTTTTGTCCGGGGTGGGTGGGCCGGGGGGATGTATATTTCATGTCCGGCTCTGGAGGCTTTTACCATTAATTATAGAGAAACACTAAGCTCTCCATTTGCCGGACAGATGTTATTTTTTACTTAAGGAGAGAGAAAGAGGGACTGTTCCATAATTCAGAGGTAATCCTGCTCTGCAGAGAACAAATAAATAAAAGAATAAATAAATAAATAAAAGAATAAATAAATAAATAAAAAACAGTAAAAACCCAGAAACCTTCGCAGCTGCAGCGAGCGACAGCTCTGAGTGCTCCTCGTGTCATAAATATGCAACAGATTCATTTTTTATTCAATCTGTTCAAATCTGACATAATGCAGCTCTGCTCAACAATACATGTTCCTGTGGAAAACAACAACAACAAACACACAACTGAGAAACTGCAGCAAATCAAACATTTTGTCTTTAAACACTTTGAGTCAAATGTTTTACATTTGAAGCTTTTGCACAAGAAGATTTTAATTCTTTTATCATTATTATGTGAACATTTATAAACATCAGTTTGTCCTGAACACAAACACTTCCTGTTTGTTCACATCTGCAGCTTTTTTCAAACTGGAGCAGAAAAAAAATCAAGTAAAATAAAAGATTTTCCTGCCGTCAGACAAACAGGAAGAAACCCTAAAATAAGAACAGATGAGTCAGCAGTTTACACAAAATAACAAGTCATGTTTCAGGATGTTTGCAGCGATAAGAAACAAACAAACAAACAAACAAACAAACAAACAAACAAAAAACAAACTTTCCTTTTAGGATTTTCTTGAAATTGTTTTGCTTTAAATCACAAAAACTGAAAATGCAAGTATAAATATATATAT